ATATATGAAGCCCAGTGCACAAAATTTGTGCACTGGAGGCAGGGGAGGTCCCTCAGCCTGGCCTGTGCCCTTATCTACTAGAGGCCCAGTGCACGAAATTCGTGCACTTGGTGGCGGGACCCTTAGCCCGGCCTGCACCCTCTCACAGTCTGGGAGCCCTCAGGGAATGTCCAACTGGTGGCTTAGGCCCACTCCCTCGGACATCCTTAGCACTGCCTCGGAAGTGGGAGAGGCTCACGCCACCACTGCTGCACTTGCCAGCTGTGAGCCTGGCTTCTGGCCGAGCGGCACTCCCCCTGTGGGAGCGCACAGACCACCAGGGGGGAGCTCCTGCATTGGAGTCTGCCCCCCAGTGGTCAGTGCGCGTCATAGCGACCGGTCGTTCTGGTCGTTCCGCTGTAACGGCCACTTAGGCTTTTATTTGATATATATAGATATATTTTTTGTATTTTATCTTTTTAAAATTCTTTATTGTTTTAAGTATTACATATGTCTTGTTTTTTTCCCCATTGACCTCTCCCCGGCCACTCCCCCCGCCCCCTAAATATATTCTTATTGACTTCAGAGAGGAGGGGAGAGGGAGAGAGAAACATCAGTGATGAGAGAGAGTCACGGATCGGCTGCCTCCTGCACACCCCACACTGGGGATCAAGCCCACAACCCAGGCCTATGCCCTGAGTGGGAATTGAACCGTGACCTCCTGGTTCCTCGGTCGGCCCTCAGTCACTGAGCCACGCCGGCCGGCCATGGTGTGCTTCGTTTTGAACTTGGAGGGAGTTTTGTGGGTGTCCCATAGCCTGGGACAGCACAGCCTTGGCGAACAGTCCCCCAAACACGCGGCTCCCGAGTGTCCTTCGATGATTCTCTCGGGTTTCCAAGTGATGCACGTGTCTGGCCGATCGGGGCCGGCTGGCCGAGGAGGGACACGGGAGGTTGGCCCGTCAGGGAGGAACTGCAGGGCTCCAGGGCGTGTCCTGGGGGAGCACAGCTTCTCCCCTGCCCGTTCCCTGCTCCACAGCGAGGGGAAGATGCTAGGCAGGCCTGCCCCAAGCAGAGCTCCCCCCACCTCCCCTG